TCAAAATAAATGATAAAAAGGTATACTAATTAAGTAGCCAGTTTTTACAATATATATGCGTTTTGCTAGTGGTCAGAACGAAGCTCATTTAAAAGCGCGCATCCTGTCATGACCGAAATAACTTCAGGATAGACTACTTGATAATCAGTATCACAACTTGAGTAAATGCCGTTTAGCGAAAGATTATCAATCTTTCGCCCATGTCGACATGTTGCGTGGTCTTCGTCGACTACCGTTGGTGCCTGAACGTGCGTGTGTGAAGTACTTGACAAGGAAAGACGCGTCAACTACACATGCCACGCCAGAGACCTGGTATGTAGCGTTTAACTTATCAGGGATTCGATGAGAGCATCTCAAAGACAGTGACATGACAGTTAGGCCGTTGTTCCACCACCGCCTTCGCTGGATGCAGCAGCGGCAATTTTCGAGACACCTTTCGCAAACTCTCTTATTTCCCTGGCTTCTACCTATGTTTGTTTGCAGCTCTTAATGCGGACAATTATCCGCTCGGTGCCGGGCCTCCTGCGTTTCTGCGCCTGTGCCCTCGTCCTCTACTTTGCCTTTGTTCTCTGCGCCTGGGTCATCATTGGACCCTACCACGTCAAATTCCGCACCTTCATGTCCACCCTGGAGTGCCTCTTCAGCCTCATCAACGGAGACGACATGTATGTGACCTTCTCGGTGATCGGCGCCAACCAGGGCCTCGGCATCTTCCTCTTCAGTCGCCTCTTCCTCTACATCTTCATCACCCTCTTCATCTACGTGGTCCTCAACATCTTTGTCACCATCATCTTTGAGGCCTACGAAGAGGTGAAGGTGAGTGCGATCCCCGTTGCCCGTTTTCTATTCACTCATAGGCTAACAACCTGTAAGAACTAGCTGAATAGCTTTTCGTGTAAATAATGCTTGGCTTTTCGTTTTGCAGCTTGAATATGTAACTGTTAATAATGCAGTGTTTCTCTATGCTGTGCTGGTTTTCGTCACCTGAATATACGCCCCCGAGGTCAGAAGTTATGTCAAAGGACAGTCAGATAACACGGTTATTCTTTGTGTGTGGCTCTACAGAAATAAACAGTAAAGTTAACAATGTGAGGTAGAAATCAAAAAGAGGGTGAAAATACATTCGAGGTGCTTAG